GACCCCAAGGATTATGTTGAGGTCTTTGAAGGCCTCATGGACTTCCAAGCGGCATCAGAMGCAATCAAATGYCGCGCCTTTCAGATCGCGCTYACTGGCAGCGCGCGATTGTGGTATCGGAGACTGCCAGCCAGGTCGATCTCGACCTACTCTCAGYTGAGAAGGGAGTTCCTCGCCCAGTTCTCTTCTCGGCATTATGACAAAAAGACAGCGACCCATCTCGCCACCATCAGACAGAAGGAGGGTGAGACGCTGCGAGAATATGTCACTAGATTCCAGGTGGAGCAGTTGAAGGTCGCACACTGCTCCGACGACTCGGCCATGTGCTATTTTCTCACCGGTCTAGCCGACGAGGCCCTCACGGTGAAACTTGGGGAGGAGGCCCTGGCCACCTTCGCCGAGGTGCTTCAGAAAGCGAAGAAAGTCATCGATGGACAGGAGCTCCTTCGAACCAAAACCGGCCGACCAGAACGAAAAATCGGCCGAGCCAGAAGTGGAAAAGATATGGAAAAGACAGATCCCAAGTCCAAGGACAAGGGATCCTTTTCCAGCGGCCGAGCTGAGTATCGGAGGGCGGAGAACGGACCTACCAGGAGCCGACCTTACGAACGCTTCACCCCGACCACGATTCCAATTTCCGAGATCCTAACGAACATCGAGGAGTCTGGAATGGAAAAACTACTCAAACGTCCTGAGAAGCTTCGGAGAGCCCCGGAGAGACGCAGCAAGGACAAATATTGCCGCTTCGATCGGGAGCACGGCCATAACACGTCGGACTGCTGGGAGTTGAAGCGTCAAATTGAAGATCTAATTCAGGATGGCTACTTCAAGAAATTTGTGGGAAAACCCAGGACCAGCTCGGCAGAAAAAAAGGAAGAGCGGAAGCGTTCAAGGACGCCGCCCCGGCGCACTGACCGACCTGCGGTCATCAATACCATTTTCGGAGGACCAAGCGGGGGTCAGTCCGGACATAAAAGAAAGAAGTTAGCTTGTGCAGCCAGGCGCGAGGTGTGTATCATCAGGGAGCAGAGGCCGACCTGCTCAATCACCTTCGACGGTGCAGACTTGGAGGAGGTTCACCTGCCC